TTGTAAAACAGACTAGACAAGAAATGCAGTAATGAAGTATTCAAAAAATGAACAAAAATGAAGGAGGTTGTCAAACCTGTTTCTCTAGGGTAGTTATTTTCTGTAGAATGGCTCTCCTCTTTGATGCTCACAAAATGACTTGCCATGTCATCTTCAGCTACTTCGTAAGCAATGTTGTGTCTATGGGTGCACTGTCCTGGCACAACAGACTGAGAATGAGCTGCAAGACATCTTGATTTATAAGGTGTGAACAGGTAAAAAAGCATTTGATCAATACAAGAAGGGCACTCTGCATATGCCCTGGAGCAATTTATTGTTAGGCTTAAAAGGCTTTATTCCTCTCAATATTCAGTTCTAAGCACCAGAATTGTTCTAAACAAAGCATGGAGACCCTACATGAATTGGAAGTGCCAAAAGGCACAAATGGATTCCTGCTAGGTCCATTTGCTCTACAAAGAAAGCATCACAATGTAATTCAAAATGATGCTGAAAATGCCAGTCCTAATTATTGTATGCTGCTAGGGCTACAGGTTATACAGCAGCATCTCATTTCTGCCACGATGCCTATTATAGCTTAGAGACTCTCTGACAGGCAATCGGGTTGGGAGAAAAGCAACTGGAATCCTTACAGAAACATGCTACTTCAGATTACATGGCATATTAAATTTGGTCTTGTGGCAAAATCTATTATGGACAGTTTGGTACTATTTGCTTCATCTTTAATAATTAAACTATATGAGGAACTGTTGTTCATATTAGTGATCCTTAAACACCAGCTACCTTTAAAGGTTTGTTGGCTTTTTTTCTTTTTATGGGGCTTTCTGACATTTATTCTAAAGAGAAATGATATATCTATTCAAACAATAGATAACCTGTAGGTAGAATAAGACTTGCCTCTCATGGAGGACCAACTCAATGGCTGACAATCCCCATTGTGACATCACAGAGCATCCCCACATCAGAAAAGCCTGGTTGGTTAAATGCCAACTGATATACAACAAAAGATCCTAACATCCTCCAGGAACTGATTGAATGGATTGCTTTTAAGATTATTTCTGCCCATGGTGCAGAGGTATGAATGGTAATCTGAAGACCCAGTATATAGGCAGTGTTGAATTTGAGCATTATTAATCTCTAGGTTCAACTCCCAGTTAGGCAGACTGGTAATGTAAAAGCTAAATTCCTCTAGAAAGTATGCTATACTTCCCTTTTTTATTCTAATAACACTACTCCCCCCCCCCTTTTTTTTATTACACTCCTTATTGTAACCATTTTCAAATGAACATTTATTTCTCTGCCTTGGCTATACTGCTATGTATGACAATTAAATAATGGACTTTCATAAAGTTACCTTCAAAAATTGGGAAACATCAACGCTGATTTCACAACCCAGTATTTATAAACTAAAATGGTGGGTGACAATTTCTATATTATTAAGATTTGATAGCAGTATTTCACTTCTAATTCTACTAGGAAAAATGCTTAGTCTTATTTTAGAAGTATGGTTACTGTCTCAACCTGTTATCTCTCTCAGATACTTACAGCAAATTAATTTCCTCTAAGAGATGCATGAGTGCTCAATAAATATTGTTTCTCTCCCAAGAATCAACATACAAAGTGTAATTCTTTATTGAAAAAGGCCTCTTTTTTTTCTTTCCATTACTAAATCTTGGGAAGAGACACAGCCCTATGGTAATCATAAGTCCATTGGCATCCTTATTTTTTATAGAATACATAGGCTGCACGCTCCCTTAATTATTTTGCTTGAAGATTTCTTATAAAAATATAGTCAAAAGTATCATAAAGTCATTATGGACTTTTTGCTGAAAATGGATAAAAATGAACTGATGATAAGGGCAGAATATGGGGAGAAGGGAACCATATTATATAATTTTGAAAGAGACAAATGGTTTTAAATATGTTTATACCTGCTGTGAAGAAGATTGGAAGCAGCTTCCTTAACTACCTTTCTATTTTCTTTTTCTATTTTTTCTCTCTTTATTGCTTTAACACTGTTTTCTTTATCTTTTCTAACCCTTTCTGCATATTGTTTTGTGTTTACCTTTTTAACTTTGTAAGAAATTCTTCAATGAAACTTATAAAAGAAGGATCATAAAGTCATCATGAACAAAAAAAAAAAAAAATCTCAAAAGATTAAAAGAGTAAGCAAATAACAAAACACTAACATTTTCAAAGTCCTGAGTGAACAAATATGATTTTAATCCCCTTCTTAGTTGTCATAAGGAGGCAACATACTTCAACTCAGCATCGTTCTATTACATGATCTCCACTACAGAGGAAGTTAAATACACCTGCAGTGGGACCTGAAAAAAGTATCCTATGGATCATTTACAGAACAGTTGGATTATAAATTAGTACATGGTCCTGTAAGTAGGTTGGGCCTAAACTGTGTGAACCTTATATAACTTTGTGAGGGTATTGAACTAGGCTTGGAAGGCAATCAAAAGGCTCTGCTATAGCCCCCGCCCTTTGGAATATCTTGGCCCTGGAGGTGAGATTGGCCCCCTCACTCCTGGCCTTTCAGAGGGATCTGAAGACCTGGCTCTGCCATTGGGCCTGGGGTGAGGAGGGGCATCATCAACTGTGGGGTTGGCTAGTCCCTTAGTGGCCTGACGTTGCTGCCTTGAACCATTGGCCTTCTTGATTTTTTCCCTTCTATTTTTGTGAATGTGTATTGTCTTAGGTTTTAATTGTATAGGTTTTAATTGTATATTTATTTATTGTTTTAACATGTTGTAAGCTGCCCAGAGTCCCCCATTGAGGGGAGATGGGCAGGGGACTAAATAAATAAATAAATAAGCAAACAAACAAACAAACCAGTGAAATTGTTTCAACACAGGTATTATGTGGGACCATTTATAGGCACTACCTGCCATTTGGACTGCTGCATCCAGGACCTCTTGCAATTTCCAGACCATCTTTAAAGGTAGCTCTATGAAGATAACATTTCAAAAATCCCAGGACTCTTTTCTCCAGGATTCATGTTGTTTATGAGTCCAGTATCAAGAACAACTCCATCCTGTCCACATGTACTTTCAGTTTGTTCTCCTACATCCTGCCCTTTCTAAAATCACATTGATAGTTGAACTAACCATTGCTGTCCTTTCCAGATTGACAAAATTAGGTAGGAAAGATCTTATGACTTGCTAGCATTTCGCTCCTTCATTCCTGATTTGCTGTTTACTATAGCTTCAGCTTACTGCAATGCCAGCTTCCTCATTACATCCCAAACCCTAAGTCCTTTACATTCAATATTTTCCAATACTTATAATATTCAAGGATTATGCTCCTACAAAACAAAAGGCCTCACATTCAATTAGAGCGTGCTGAAATAAGCAATGAGTGAGGGCAGAGATAAATAAGAACATATATTACCTCTCTGACAAGCCTTTTTCTCTTAAACCTCCCTATCCTTCAAGGGTATTTGAAGGATAACAGCTCATACCAAAGTTCCAAATTTCTTGGAAAAGACTTAAAATAAGGCTACAGGTTGCCCACCCTGAATTAATTTTTTTTCATTCAATTTTATTAACATTTTTTAAAAGGAGTATAAAAACTAACAGAAACTAATACAGAATAAAGAAAAGTCAAAAAGAAGGAAAGAAAATACTAAGCCAAAAGTGCAGAAAAAAGAAAAGAAAACAAAGAAAATATAAAGAAGTAGCTTCCAATTTTCTTTACAGCAGTTGTAAGTGTAAATTTAGTTCTTACTCTATGGTTTCAATATGACTCTCATTTTTTCTAAAAAACTATTTTTTTCTAATCATCAAAACCATAAATCATAAATTCATTTTTTCTGTTTTGTGCAAAAAGTCCGTAAGGGGTTTCCAGTCAACAATAACATACTTTTCTCTGTTCAAAGAAGTCAATTTGGCCATCTCCACAATTTCCATCATCTTCACCATCCAGTCCTCCATTGTGGGTAGCATCAAGTCTTTCCACCTTTGTGCATACTCCCTACTGCAGTTATCATGTATAAAAACAAAGTTCCATGACTTTTTTCCAACTGTTCATCCATCAGTCTCAAAAGAAAAACCTTTGGTTTCAATTTCAACTGCATATTAAAAATCTTAGAAACCTTCTAAATTAGTGTTATGTATTTGAATCCAAAACTTTTTGCCATTTTCACACATCCACCATGCATGATAAAATGTCCCTTTTTGTTGTTCACATTTCCAACATAAATTTGAAGTACCTTTATACATTCTAGACAATTTCTCCAGTGATATATACCAATGACACACCATTTTATTAAAATCCTCTTTAAGATTATAACATAATGTAAATTTAAGTCCTTTCAACCACAAATTCTCCCACTGTTCCATTTGTATATTGTAACCCACTTTATCATAATTCTTTCACTTGTTCTTTTGTTTCAAAGTTTATACATTTTATCAATAACATGTTCATCATTTATACACAATTCTATTTCAAACTCGGTCTTACATTGTTCAAAACCAAAAATTCTTTTGTCTACCTTAAATCTTTCTATTAATTGTACATAAGGGAGCCATTGACAAGTATATCCTTCTGCCACCAGATCGTCTCTTAATTCTATTTTATATTCCCCTTGACAAAATTCTATCTCATGATAAATTGACCATTTGTATTTACTTATCATTTCTTATCTATAGAATGCTTCTTGCACTGAGAGCCACGAAGGAGTTTTCAGGCATAACCTGGGTTTATATCTATTCCATATTCACAATATGGCACATCTGACAAAATGGTTTTTAAAATCTACATTAACTGTGCCATAAATATTCATGCCACCCAAATCTTAAGTCATGTCCTTCTAACTCCAAAAGGCTTCCATTTCTCAGCAACATCCACTCTTTCATCCAAACTAAACAACAAGCTGCAAAATATAATTTCAATCCCGGTAAACCCAATCCTCCTCTTTCCTTTGCATCTTGTAAAAGTTTATATTTAACTTGTGGTTTTTTCCGCTACCACACAAATTTAGATATATCCTTCTGCCAATTTTTAAATGGTGCATCAGTTGTCGAAATAGGTATTGTCTGAAACAAAAATAACATTCTAGGTAAAATATTCATCTTAATCACAGAAATTCTCCCTAATAATGACAATGGTATTTTCTTCCATCTTAACACACCTTTTTAAACTTCATCCCTTATGAATGAAGTTCATTCTTATTATATCTTAATATAATTATTTTTAAATAACATACAATTCATATTTCTCATAGTGATACCCAAGAATGTTATCTACTTCTCAATCTTAAAACCTGTTTTATTCATCAATTCTGTTTGATCTTGCATTTTCATATTTTTTGTTAACATCTTTGTCTTCTGTTTATTAATCTTAAAACCTGCTAATGCATCAAATTCCCTTAATTTACCCATTAATGTTTCAATTCCCTTTAAAGGAATTTCCAGAACCAGCACCAAATCATCTGCAAAAACTCTTAACTGATGTCTCTTTTTTAATCTTTACTCCCACAATCCTCTCAGCCTGTTTTATGCCGCTATTCAGTTTTTCAAGAACCAAAATAAACAGGAGAGGGGACAATCTTGTCCCTTTTTGTATCTCACATGGTTTTGTTAGATCTCCATTAACAATAATTTGTGTTCTCTGTGAAGTATAAATTGATTTTACCCATTTTATAAAAGTCTCTCCAAAGTTCATATCTCCCAAAACTTTAAATAGAAAAGTCCAGTTCAAATGGTAAAAGGCCTTCTCTGCATCTGAGAAAATCAATGCAGCTTGTTTTACATTATGTTGTTCCAAATATTCTAAAATGTCCAACACAGGTCTAACATTGTCCTTTAACTGTCTTTTAGATAGGAACCCACTTTGGTCCTCATGATTAAATTCTTGCAAAATTATTTTCACTCTATCAGTTAGAATCATTGTGAACAACTTATAGTCATTATTCAACAGTGTTATTGGCTTAGGTTGATTATTGTACGCCACCCAGAGCCACTTTGTGTGAGATGGGCAGCTATATAAATGTGACAAATAAATAAATATATAAATAAGTAATATATAATTTACTATCAATTTCCAGAACTGCATGTTGTACTTAACTAAAATATATCAAGGTTTTCAGATTTTTTTTTTAAACTAATTTCCATTTATGAACTTCTCATTGAAGTTACACTCATGCACACTGAATTTCTTCTTGTACCAGCTATGTGCTAGATGTATTTTGAAACAATTGATGGATTGGATCTAGGCATACCATCTGCAAAAAGAAGAGGTTCCATTTGCAGAAGAGACTCCAAATAGTGGTCCTTCACCAATTCTCCCTTCAGTCTAAAATCCCACATACCCTTCAAAAAGCTTCTCTAGAGGACCAAAAAGACACCTCTGTCAGATAGCATGGGAACAGTAGAGCATGCCAACAGCAGAACCACATTCATTTGAAGTCTGGATCATAGTCCATGTTCTTGGTAAAGCTAACAAAAGTGCCATTTCATTGAGATTCCATTTAGTCCTTTTTTTCAGTTATAGTTTTTGTTCCTTGGAACATTTGGGGGGGGGGGATATTATTTATTCATTTATTTACCTGCCCACGCCAAAAAAGACCTCTTTCAGAACAGTTCACAAAAGGGACAGCCCTTCTCTTGAGTTTATATTCTAACAGAAATGAGAAACAAAGAAATGGAGTGTGGGAGAAGAAGAAAACAGTACTGGTTATCTTAGTTGCCCAGATGAATTTAAAAGCCTACCATTCCAGCTCAGATTGCTTGCATTATTT